AGCAGCTGCCAAACCGAGAAGCAGTGGCAGGCCACATTGGAGTCTGTTGTGTGAAGAGGATGAGTTGGTATACATTAGCGAGTGCTCATGGGCTCTCCATCCTGCGTGTCCGGCACAAACTACAGAGTCAAATGCTCTTTTAAGGCAAGACCCTTTCGGTACGAAGATGAGATTTTGCAGGTCACCTCAAAGATTTTGCAGAGCTTACGAGTCGGTACGGAGCCTACACGGACGTGGAGACTTTTCGACACGAAATGCTTTGACAAAGCTTGCTCGTGTCAAGTGCTATGCTTTCGGCTTTTTCTTCATTTCGGAGCGTTCATCGGAACTTCTGGCTGGCTTCATAGCTTCAGCCTCCTGTGCTCCCAAGAGAAAGGAACGATAAACACTTTTCCTAGTGCCAAACTAAGAATCAAGGCTCCTGACAGTGCGAAGAGCGCGGTTTCAGGCGAAGATGAAGGGGTAGCACTGGACCTGGTGGTGGCCAGCTCTGCAATGACATCTTTCGAGAAAGGTGCCCAGTGCGGAAGCGGGTGTGCCTGGCTAGAGCGGTGACCATAATGACTGAAAAAGAAGGCCCTTGTATACCCTTGACAAAAACGGCAAGAAACGTTGCTCGCTGTGATCCGCTCCACATCGAGGTGTGTTGTCATTGCTCCAAGAGATTCTGACATTTGGTTGAGACTAGGGCTGGAGGGAGGTCCACTTCATGAAGTGAGATATATTTTCAGGAATGCCTCACACCCCCACAGCTTTGAGCATTCGTTGCGGGACCCGCGCAAACATCAAACCGACCGACCGGTGAGATTCTTTCACTCTGAGAGTCGCAGGCGACAGATGGCAAGATGCCATTGTCCTCTTTGTTTCCTCCGCGCTACAAGCGAGGACCATTTTTCTTTGACTTGGTTAAACCATGGTGCTAGCTTGTACCAAGACATTTATTTGAGATAGAGTCGGTTTCAGAACATGTACTTCAAGATTTGAGAGATTTGTTTTTCCACTGTATCTGATATCTTGTCTTTTTCCTCGAAAGCGGTCATTTGAGAAGCAAGATCGTTCATCTTCCAAACAACTAATGCAAAGACCAGGGCTCGGCTGTCGAGTTCCGAACGCCTGCCTTGCGGCTGCCTTGCAGTGCCTTGCAGGCTTTCACACAATGTGGTGAGCTGCAGTTCTGCCATCACTGCTTGTGAAGCAGGTGCCGTTTTGCCTCGTTTCTGCCCGCCGTTGTGCGTCGCCCCTTTTTTCGGAGGCGATTGGTGGCCAGGCGCCTTTGCCTTGCTTCAGCAGATGGGCACTGCAGCTTTGAGGCGACTTTTGAGAGCCGCTTGCTTCGGACAGGCGACATCGTTTACAGATCAGAAGCGCCAAAACGAGGGATGTTCGGTACACCGTAACAACCACGGACGCTGTGTTCTCCGGTTGGCCCTGTGAAGAAGCGGATGCGTGGATCAGGCCGAATGCAGTCAGCTACCAGGCCGCCTTGAGCTCCACCAAAGAAACATGGCGTTGTGCTTGAACCTTAAAAAGACACAAAACAGCGCAAGTGAATTGAAGATCTCTGAAGAGAGGACTAAAAGTTGTTTCTAAATTGGCTTCAAGTAATGTCATAATGTCCCTTGAAGCCAAACATACTTGTGGGAGTAGGATGGCACAGCATTTCTATCTATTTGGTGAAGAAGGGTGTACCACCTCCAAGGCTTTGAGTAGCTTCAGATTCATGGAGCGGGAAGGCGTGGCTGCTGCTCTTGCAGTGGTGGAAAGCACCTGCGAAGCGCTCTCAAGAACGGCTACCAACTTCAACTGTTTAAGTTTAACTATCATTTTGATCCTTGTAGCATAGCAACATAGCAATTTCCTCTATAAAATTGGAGCACCTAGGTGCTCGGTGAATCTACTTTCTTTATACAGCTACTGGAGGTTGGGTGCTTCAGTTTTATAGAGATGTTGGGGGTTCTAATTCTATAGAGGTGGTAGATCTAGAGTCTCTGTTTCCCAAGGTGGAAGTTTATGGAAATCAAGGGCTTGGGAAGCTGCCAGCTCATATGCTTTTCAGATTGAGAGGCGCATGTGCTGTACTTCACTTTATTTGCACGCGGCCTCACCCTCGTTGAGACAGAGCCGACGGCGGCCTTGCTTTTGGCCGGTTGCACTTGGTTGTAAACGCGAGAACCAATCACTTCGACGAATTGTCGCAGCTCATCGGTCTGCAACAAGCAATCCGGGGTGGAGACCCTTCTTTACCACGCCGAGCAACATCCGAACCCCGCGAACTTTGCTGGCGCCTTTCTTTTAATGTGCCAGCTCGAAACCAACTGCGCGAGCGGCCCCTGCTGAATTGATTTGCCTGCAAGGCAGGCCAAATAAGCCCTGCGCATTTTATCGTTCCCTTCAAGCGGTGTAGCGTGCCAGTGTCCATCCTCTTCGTCTTGTCAACCACAACTGATGGCCATGCTAGAAATACGCCGCCTTTTTTTTTGCCAACGTGGTCATCTGCTGAAACTGAATCCCTGTTTCAGCCGACGTGAGCTTCTCTCGCTAAACCTCAATGCTTCTCACCAGCATGGAGCTTCTCCACTCCTCTCAGTAGTGTGGAGCTTCTCTGAGAGCCTGCGGGGCGTCGAGCAAGCTCCCACTTGCTGCCAGGAGCGCCGCTGCCACCTTGCAACCCGCCAGCACGGAATTTGAGCACTGTTTTTGCCGGTGGACGATTGCAGCGTTCAGTAGATCGCTCTCTGGTAGTTCTCACCGGTGCTCATTATATCAAAGTCCGAGCATCGTCTGCCACCAAATCACTCCCTCATTCCTTTGTCAACCTTCCATGTGTGGCCAAATTACATCTGTGATGTCGCTGCGCCATGCACTTTGCGCGGCCTCGGTGGAGAGTGTCTTTGCGCGAGACCGTGCCATTGGGAGAAGGAAAACGTGCTGGTGTCGCGGATGATTTGCGGTGTCCACGAGGTTGTGACCCTCATCACTCATGACCTTAAATATCACCACCACCATCTTCATCATCTTCAACCAATCCTCATCCTCACCGCACCTTCTGTCGTCTCCTGCGCTGCTTTCAGGCCACCCGGTCATCGAGGTTTTTGAGGGCTTGGTGGCAATCGCAATCAAAATAATCAAAAAGAATAGTGAATCGTGTTTAGATCCATGTGTGTCTGTGCAAGCAGTCAGCTGTCGTAAGAGGCATCAAATGGACAGTGCTCGGCTGTGAGCATGTGATTCGTGCCTGCGAGCATCGCCGCTGCCTTAGAGCAGATATATCCAACAAGTCCAATGAGACGATTGCAATGTATACAAAGGAGCATGCTCTTTCTTTGCAGGATACAGCACGGACCTGCTTGAAAGCGTAGTGTTAAGGTCAAACGACATAACATACAACCATGTGGGCCGATCTTTCTTTTCACTTATCGCCAACGCCAAAATTTAAATCACACCAAAAACACAATAGACTAGACGACAAATTCCCCATGTTTGGCTCAGGTGGCGAGTTGGGTGTTGTGAGACAGCTTTTGGAGCTGGTTCGGAAGAAGCCGGGAACTGAAGACGCCAAAGCTACACTCAAATGGTGAATTGTGGAGTGTAAACAATCTGGAATTTTGGTTTTCGCCATTCTCTGGTTTTGTTTGGTAGTGTTAATGAGTTGTTTTTTTCCACCCTTTGGACATTGGAGTCTCCATCTCACCATGGTCGGTTTCAGGTCTTTTTTGTTCTAGACATGGGAAACAAATTGTAGAGTTGGTCGATGAATGGTATTCGCAAGGCACTTTGCTGGGACAAGACAAGACCATTTTCAATTCATTTGCCCCGGGAAAAGGCTTTTGCAGCTGTAGGACGTGGGGACGCGGGGAAGACCTACCTTTGCAGCCAAGACCGAAGCATCCTTGGAGCCTCGGGTAGATGGTGCGCGTCCAAGGAATGATTGGGCCATTGGGCGCCCGCGATCCAGGTGCGCAGAGATTTTCGTTTCAATGCGCCGGGAACGAAATGGGAGTAGCAGAGAAGAGGGTATGCGCAATTCATTGCATTTTGTAGGTGTATAATTAAAATATACATAAAGAAAAAACAAACACACACACACATATATATATATATATATACATATGAGATGGTAATAAGATGTAATAAGATGTAGTACCCCAGTGATGGACACAACTTCATTGTTGGATGATGTGCCTTCTGGGAGCGAACAAAATCCGTTGGTGCCATCCTTTGAGGTGGAGAAAAGCTTCACCAGGGCGTCGAAGGCCTCCAAGAGAGCTGCGAAAAAAGGGATCTCTTGGCTTTGAGCGGCCGCGCGGACCTTTGGGTATTCAAGAGACATCAGAGACATCACTGACAAGTGAGCAACAGAGATTGGTTGAGAGCAAGCGTGACGGCGTGACGTCAGTCCAAGTTGTCAAGCAGTTCTCTCATGTTTTTTTTTTTTTTCTCTTGCAGAGGAATGAGGGATGGTGAGGCAAACATCTAAACATGAGAGGCTACCCCCTGGCTACTCTCATGCCACCTGTGAACACAACGAGCATGAATGAGCATGAGCGAGATGAGCCGAAGCGACCTCCGCAGCACCGAAACCGGCTCAGCCGACACCAAGCGAGACCGCCGCCTGTGACTTGTGCTGCTGGACGAAGAGTGGCCGCTTGGATCTGCTTGGCGGAAGTCTCGTTCATTTGATGAGATTTGTAGCAACCCTGATTCGCATGGAGAAACACATAGACTCCTTGTTTGCTGTCCCATATCCGACTTATTGTAATTATTAATTATTGTAGTTCTGTCGAATTCATGTCGGACATGGAATGTGACGATCTGGAGACCACTGTGGTAGATAGGTGTTTGGTGGGTTCCTTCCTTTGAGAGACACCCAAATGGGTGTCGGTTACAAGAACACGACCCAAAGATAGTGGGTGAACATCTCACATCTTGGACATTGACATGGAAAACAATTGGATTCTGCCAGCCATTTGTCTTGGTTTGCATCAGTTGTTGAGATATGGATGGAAGAATGTCAGCCCATAGGGTGTCTTGGGGCTCTCCCTGGTCTTCAAACACAGGCCAGGCCGCGACATGATTTGTAATTAGAATGGATGAGAAGTAAGAGGAGTGCAGAAGCGTGGTTTCCCTCTTGTTAGATCAGTGGCATGGCTAAGATCTCGTGAAGATCTCTTGTTCCCCAAAGAAAATCATTTAGTCTGGAAGGAGGGCCTGGGGCGGAGATTCCTGTCGTGATGCTTGGGGGGTTTCCCAGCCTGTGTAGGGCTGGTACACGGAAGCTCCGAGTCTAGGCAGCCATGGCGATCAGCAACAAAAAGTTGCAGAAAATCATGCCCCTTGGCAACAGCTTATTCAGTGATTTTGTTTCTGAGATTGAGAGCAAGTAGCTCGAAGTGTCATTTGCTCGTGACTCTTGACCATTTCCATTTAAAGATAGTCAAGATCGTTTTCACTTGAGTTTGATCGAAGGTATGAGAGGCTCATGATCAGGTCATGAGGAGGTACGTGCGATATGAGGCTGTATTAAACATATGCTACAAGGGTAGTTGATATCGTGTCTAGTTGTGATGTCTGCCATTGCTGAGGACCCTCCCCATCAACCAGATCTTTAGATATTTGCAGAACCGCTCGCGGGTACAGGCTAGCTTTCAACGATGGTTGGAAGGGGAGAGCTGGACAAGCATGGATTTCTTGTCTACATGGCTTTTGCATTGAGAGGTCTGGTTGCACGAACAAGCTGATCTCCGGATCGAAGGGCGGATCCTCGGCTTCGACGAGTGCCTCAGCTGCGGTGAAGGGTGGACTCTTGGGAAGAGAGAGAGAGAGAGAGAGAGATGAGGGTTTCCTGCCCCAAATGTCCTCTTGAACTCACATCATGCTCTTGCACCATAATCGAGGATTTTTGGATCCGGGCTGCTGCAGAACTTGTGGTCCTTGGGCCATTCACTCGTACATGTGGCTCAGGTACATGAACCTCGTCATAGATGATGCCGAGGCAAGCTGTGGGCCATTCAGAATTCCATAGAATTCAAAGATACGTCATTCTTTTTTCCCTTGGCCCAAGCAGGCAGTGGTTGCAGTTCCCGGCGCAAGTACAAAACCCCAAGGCATGGAAGCAGTTCACGTCAGGAAATCATGGTGAAGAAGAAGACCCGCCGCGCGATTGGTCCACGACCCAGTTTCGTCTTCTTTGCGAGCCAACCCGACGAGCCGTTGCCTGCTGTTCGTGACCCCCCGGCGATTGCAGCGTGATCAGGCCGCATTCTACTGAAAGGTGACAATATTTGTCTGATGATGAATACAGGCGCATGATGATGTGAAGATTCTATGTAAATGTGAGCTTTCCATGAGAAGCAGTTGCTGTCATTGTAGATCCTTTGAAAAGAGAACAGTCATGCTCCGTTTGCTCAAAAAGAGTCGATGTGTGCAGCTCAGTGGACGGTGCTGGGTTGAGCGATTATGCAGGGACAGGATGTCCCGAATGGGCGACAAGCTCTGCGGTCACGTCGTCTGGTAGTCTGGGTAGTCATGGAAGATCTACCAGGAGATTTTGGCGTCTCATCTCGAGAGATCGAGTTCGCTGGCTGAGAAGCTCGGAGCCAAAAGGATTCCGAGAATCGCAAGAACTGGAGTGGCAGGGATGTTGAGGCAGCCAGAGAATCATCCTTCAGTATCAATTTCTGTCAGAAGATGGTTTCATTTCTGCTGACCGCCTGGAACACCGCAGCTGTGTCAGCATGGCTAAGCCAGTCAAGCCAGCGGCATGGCAAGTGGCGCAAGAGCCGCAGGCAGGACAACACGCCCGCCCGTGGCGCCGGGTCGATGGGGTTTTCCGAGTCTCAACGTGGCTCGGTCCAGCCGTGAGACCCGCCGTGAGACGGTTCCATCAAGGGTGGCCAGGGCTGCGCTGGGGGGTGCCAGCCGATATCCCCATTTCGGTGGTGAGGCATTAAGCCTGCCAGCGTTCCGCCAGTGGCAGCGCCGCATTGCCAGGCGGGAAACATTTAGGGTTTGTTTTGCTTGGAGAATGCCAAGGCAATATAAGGCAACATTTATGATATTTTATGATGTGAGCAAGTGTGCAGCATGTTCAGAGCAAGCTTAGGTACAAACCTGAACGCTGAGTGAAGGGACTAAGGGAGGAGCGTTGTGTGAGATGTCTAGCTCGCCCCTCTACAATTCTCTCAGGCATCGCCAGCACCTCATAGCAGCAAAAGAGGTCACAGATATCTCGCAGTACGAGCGAGAGGAGCGGGCGCACTGGGTGGTACGAGGAAGGTGACCATGACAAAGTGCAAAATCGTAGCTGACCCCCTTGGGGTAGTTGTGAACATATGTGAAAACTTCTTGTTTTCAGAGGCGAAATCCCACTTGGACCCACCGAAGCAAGCGGTCGGAGCGAGGGACTGGTCAGTGGAGCTCGTGCGAGGTTCAAGAGCTCGAGCGAGCCTCTGCGGCACACAAGAGCTCTCGAAAGTTGGAGCCCCAGTTGTTCGGGGTGAGAAAGACGTGATGAAAAGAATCACGGCACCGGACCGGCACCCAGTAATTAATGGGGGTAGTTTCTTGAAAGCATGAAACATTGGAAACAAGATGAAACAAGCTACTGATATGCCTTTTTTTGGCTGGTTCGGAAGGAAGTTTAAGAGCAAGCTCTTTTGCAGAGTCTTCCTGACAACGTCGCTGGTCAGGGCGCAGAAGCGCGAGGAAGAAGCGAAGCTAAAGAAAGATAACGCAGGGCAGCCCAACTTTTCGCTCTTGGACTTGGACAATCAGTTTAGCACATGTTCGACAAGAAAGGGCGACCACGTCTCAGCGGTTTGGCACGTCTTTTTCGGTGTTACCACGCGACCCAGTGGGTCATGAAAGCTCAGTTTGTGACATTGTTGCCTGGAGATATTCAGAGTGAGACGAAGGAAGGAGCCCCTAGTAGCGTCCTTGCTCCTATTAGCGATGCCAGGAGCCCCTAGTAGCGTCCTTGTTCCTAGTAGTAAGACCAGGAGCCCCTAGTAGCGTCCTAGTTGTTCAAGAGATACCTGGCTCATCCTGGCGTTATGTTCCACTCCTTGGTCCAGTCAGGTCCGCTTAGTTCAAAAGCTATGCGATGTCGCCCGTACAGCTGGCAACCTTGCGTGAGAGTTCTTTTTCGATGCTTGGTCAACACTGACCACCCAAAGCATAGTCGATGGGCATTCAGTATTTCAGTTGAACCATTCTGCTCCTTGTTTGGGTATGTTATTTGGGTGTGGAATGAGGTGGGGTTGCCCTGCTCGTTTGCTCATTTGCTGCATTTGGCAGCGCGCTTGCCAGGCCAGTCGGAGAAACGACAAGAAGCTATCTCCGCATGAGACTCTGCATGTTTGTTTGTGGCAAGGGCGGATGGTGGAGAGCGAAGTTGCGATTTGTTCGGACGATCCTTTGACACCATGGTTCGACCAGTCACACTGCGATGACTCCAGCCCCGTCCTTTTTCGCTCAAAGAGAACCCATGGCCAAGCTTCTACATTGATCCACCGGATCCTGAGGCGCGGTCGGATCCAGCTGGTGCTAGCGTCCTGAAATTCAAGCCTCAAAGAATGAAGAGGCCTGGGCCGGAGCAATCACCCAGCGAAGCGGTAGAACTCGGAGAACACGTGTTCACGTGTTTCATCGTTGTGCATGGTGCAGCTCTTTTTCAAGATTGAAGATGGAAACGATCACACGGAACGCCGGACATTGGGTCGGAGGGGTTGTGAGACCCACTTACTGTAGCCTAGTAGCCTAAGGCAGCAGGCGATTTTCGCCGACAACTTGGCGCTGCTGGAGCCTAAGGAAGCGCTGCAATGGTTGGTGTGAAAGCCGTTCGTTCGCCCCAGATTGACCTCCCAAAATGGATTCGGATAGGGATCTTCACTTACCCAACGGTGGTTTGGATCATCCACCTCCACAGGTGGAGAAGCAATGGTCTAGCAGTCTAGCCTCCAATGCCTCCAGGGTGAAGATATGGGTTTGATTGGGGCTCTAAGCGCCGTTCCGAAATTGAACCGCAGTGCTCACCTGGTTTTTCGATGTCACCTGGGATTCACCGAGTGACTCATCGACGACGCCAGTGCCGTCCGGTTGGTTCCGGGCGCCGCGCTGAGGTTGCATCGGCTGGAGACGGTGCGTTCGGTGGTGCCTTCGGCCTCACAGGCACGACGTGACGCGGAAACGCCCCGTTTCCGCCGGGGGGTAGAGACATCCTTACTAGCAAGAAAGGGAGTTATATGACATATTATATGAGTTGTATTTATGAGTCATTATGAGTCGGCCTATAGGATGCCTAAGGGTTCTCCTCGTTCGCGGGTTGAAGGGGCCAAGGGGCTTTTAAAAAAGAAGAAAGGGTCTCAATCCGTGACGCCACTTGGTTTGGAAGTTTGGGTGCTCGTGGTGGCGTTGGTCTCAATCCGTGAGCGCTTTTTGGACCGCACGGATGAGGCCGTGGAGTCGCACTCCAGACATCGGGCGATCGTCGGGGGCACCCGGTGGTGTTCACATCGGACACGGTGAAGAAGTGGAAGAGTCATCTCCGACCGGGTTGGCTCTGTGGAGCAAGGTGCTCAAGAGCCATTCATTGGAAAGTGCGATGAAGCACGGAATGAGGGTGGCTGAATCCAAAGAAGCCGGCAAAACTTCCCTTATCACTGGGAGCCTGTAGTTAGGTGCTGGGCCCTTGCTGACCACCGAAAATGAACAGAATAGATTACTAGGCAGGTTAACCGATTAGGGGAAACGGAGCTGCAGGTTTTGACCCACTGCCATGTTAGGTTAAGATCTCCATGAAGTCCTCAGTTCATTCTTTTGGAGATGTAAATGTAGGCTGCCATGATGGTCGCATGGATGGACCAATTTCGCTCCTCGAACAAATCGAGCGATCAATGAGCGTGACACATTTTCGGGATTTGGCGTGGACAAAATTGTTTCCAGACTTCCAGACTGGTTCCAGAGAAACAACAGCTGGAACATATTGGAAAAGTTCAAGTTACGCTAGTTTTTGGGTGTAACTCAACAGTGAAGATCCCATACAAGCGTCAGACACTTACAGAAGCATGCAGGTGTAGAATGCTCATGCCTCAAACCAGTGTTGAAGCTGGATTGAGACCATTTGTTTGAAGTCCGGAACTCTTTGGATAAATGATGTCGAAGCACTGCCCTCCAAGAGTGTTCTTGTCATATGATGTCAGAGGATGGAGTTCCTTCACGTCAGATCTGAACAGCAAAGAATCTGAACAGCTCTGTTGATGGGACCTCCGAAATGGCTCCCGATCTCCGAACGGCTGCGACACGTCCTGGAAAAGCTAAGGCTGCACGTTTGTCTCGGTCGCGCCGTCCAGTTGGGATGGCGAGGGAGCCCATTTTGTTTTGACTCAGAACCGGACGAAAGGAGTTTCTGGGCAGTAGAGAGTAGAGATGTGTAGAGATGATGTATTTCTCAATATGTTTAAAAGACTTTCTTACTTTGGTATAGTTCTTTTTAATTCACCAGTGACCAGCAAGTCTGCTGGTTCATGTGGAATCCAGGCCATGAAACATCCGCAAGTGTTCTCCTGTGCTAGAGCCTTGACTAAGCTTGAAAAGCCTTGAAGCTGAGCAGCAAGGCACGTCCAGTCCCTCCTCCAGGGAGACCGTCTGGACCGCGGCTGCGTCGAGGCGAGACCGAGCAGAGCAGCTCCAGAGCCGAACAGTTCTTTCAGATTGCTTCAGCGCTTCGAGAATTTGCCTCAAAGCTGAGAATCAATCCATATTCATCCAGCATTCAGCTCGGGTTGTTTGGTCGAATGCAGGCCCTGGGGCAGCTGAGCCTGAGCAAAGCAGGATGAACGGGGGCTGGCGCGGGAGGAATCAGAGCACTAGGCTGTTTTTTGGTCTCCAAGGTGTAACTTTGCAACTTTACGCAAGCATCTAGAATCTTCGATCTGTTGACAGCAATCTTTCCAAACTGAACAACCTGACTACAGTATATTCTCCCTTCCGACACACCGTGAGGCAATTTCATCCAACTCCACTGGGAGAAGCCTCTTTTTTCTGACCTGTATGCTTTTTGCAAGAGATTGATTGTCTTCATGAGACTCACCGGAAGATTTTGCAGGATGGCCGTGCTGCCCAAAGTGCCTCCTGAAGTTCCGGAATTGCCCGAAGTGTCAGGGCTCCAGCACGCTTTCGTCGACGGCGAGCTTCTGGTAGCTCAGGGTGGTGCGGGTTTGAACTGATGTTTTGAAGCACAGGTGGAATATATAGTGTCCCAAATATGGTGACTGATTTGTGGCATCCCCAAATGAAGATCATGGACGACC